GGGGGGGGGGGGGGGGGGGGACGCTGGGAAGGGGGGGGGCGTAGGGGGGGGGGGGGGGGCAGGGAAGGGGATATTCAACCCCTGCCCACTCTAGCCATCCTATCCCATCTAAGGGGGTAGGAAAACTAAGAAACACTTGTGTCCAGGTCATAGGGTCACTGAAAAACTAAGACCTAATCACAGGACTAGAGAACACTTCTCCCCTGACATCTTACCATCAGATTACTATAGGCCTATTTACAGCGATTCCTTTTACCTAGAACGTTATATGTCTGGCTATTAAGAAAAAATTATAAGGCATACCAAAAGGCAAAAGACACAACTTGAAGAGACAGAGCAAGCATAAGGAATAGACATGGCAGGGATGTTAGAATGATCAGACCAGGAAGTTAAAACAACTATAATTAACATGCTGAAGGCATTAATGGAAAGGCAGCTGGCATTTAAGGACAGAGGAGAATTTAAGCAGAAAGATGAAAATCCAAAGAAAAACTAAAAAGAAATGGTAGATATCAAAATCACTTAAACAGAAATAAAGAATGCCTGTGATGGGCTTATTAGTAGACAGACACAGCTGATAAAAGAATCTCTAGGCTTGAAATATTATCAAGAGAAACTCTGAAAATGGAAAAGCAAAGACAACAAAGACTGAAAAAATTGTACAGAATTTCTGAGAACTGTGGAACAATTACAAAATGTGTCACACACAGGCTGGGTATGGTGGCTTATGCCTATAATCTCAGCACTCTGGAAGGCCACGGCAGGAAGATCGTTTGAGCCTAGAAGTTCATGACCAGCCTAGGCAACACAGTGAGAACATATACCCATAAAAATTAAAACGATTAGCTGGGTATGGAGGCACAGGCCTGTAGTCCCAATTATTGAGGAGGCTGAGTGAAGAGGACAGCCTGGGCAAGAGTGAGACCTTGTCTCTGATTAAATAAATAAAAGGTGTAACATATGTGTAATAAGAATACCGGAAAGAGAAGAAACAAAATAATATAAGAAATATTTGAAGCAACAGTGACTGAGAAATTCCCAAAATTAATATCAGACACCC